GTTAAAAATGAGTAGAAGAATGAGAATGAAAATTTTAATGGTTACCAAACGGAGGCTAAATCTCTTAGCCATCAAACATGACAATCATAAAATTATGCATAGAAGAATATTCAAGACTGAAAATATAAATTAAACAATGAAAATAGGTTGATCTCACAGTTATAATATTTTCCAAGACTTTGGTATCTTTCAATCAAGTACCAAGGGTTAGTTACATATGATAAATATAAGATAACTAGAGAGAAAATAGGTTTGATGCGTTCTCGTACGTTTTGGGGCTTAAAATATGGTGAGAAATTAGGTTTCCATACGTGTTTCAATCAAACAAGGAAACTGGAAAAATTTTGCGTTTTAACTTGAGGCGCGCACCTTGGAGGGTTTTGAAGCCTTAGGCGATACTTTTTTTGATCTCGGGCGCGCGTCTCTTCTGCAGGCGAGGGCGCGCGCCTCGCCTAATTCCTGGCAGCTAAACAATTCTAAGTATTTTTGACATAACTTCTCTCTCGATATCCGATTAAGGTAATTCAGGATGTGTTGAAAAGTTAACTCAAAGGGCTACAACCGTTCTTCAGAGACCATCTTCAAATTTGATTGTTTACCATGTTCAAAATGGATCCAAATATACGGTTGAAAATCGGTGCATAACTTTTCAGCTTGAAAGTTGATATGTGAAAATGTTTTGGCTATATTTCATTCATTTGATTCCTTTTTTCATCCAATTGACCTCTAACACTCTCGAATCTTCATCACAAGGTTAGAAGAAAGTTTAGAGTATTTACACTTTAATCCCTGAACTTTCACTTTCTTTCATTTTGATCATTTTCCTCTTATTTCTTCCAAATTACGCCATACCCATCGAATTGCTACCTAAACCAAAATATGAGAATAATAGGTACATTGAGGTATAAAACAATCATATGAGCGTATTAAATAAAAATATAAAATGTGTATTTTACATTCCTATAAACTCTTTGTGATGACTAATATAAATTAAAGCTTGATAACCTATTTGCTGAGACCTTTTTAACCTTACATCATAATTTGGTACTAAATGTGGTTTATTGAATGAATGAACTGCCAACTTGTGATATAAATGTTTGGGTCACATATCTAATAAAATGATAGAAAGATTAGTAAATAATGAAATCCTTCGTGACTTTGATATTAGTGATATCAAAAGCTGTGATTGTATTAAGGGTAAAAAAGCCAAACACACAAAGAAAGGAGTCACGAGAAACATACAGCTTCTTGAGATAATACACACCGATATATGTAGGCCTTTGATGTTCCATTCTTTGGCGGAGAAAAGTATTTTTATCATCTTTATTGATGACTTTTGACGTTATGGTTATGTATATCTCTTGCATGAAAAGTCTCAAGCTATACATGATTTAGATATCTTTGTCAATGAAGTTGAACGAAAATTAGACAAAAAGGTGAAAATAATTGGATTTGATATAGATGGTGAATATGATGGAAGGTATGATGAAATTGGACAACACCTTGGTCCATTTGTTAAATTTCTTGAAAGACATGGTATATATGTTCTTTACACACTATGTTAGGCATATCATAACAAAATGGTGTAACTGAAAAGGAGTAATCGTACTCTAATAAAAATGGCTAGGTGTATGTTAAGCAATACTTCTTTATCCATTTCTTTGTGGATATTTGCATTAAAGAATGCTATGTATTTGCCAAAAAAAAAAAAAAGGTTCCTAGTAAGGTAGTTCCAAAGATCCCATTTGAACTATGGACGAGAAGGAAACCCAGTTTAAGATACCTACATGTTTGGGGTTGCTCGACATAAGCAATAATTTATAATCCACATGAAAAGAAATTGGACTCAAGAACAATCAGTGTATTTTTCATTGGTTATCCAGAAAAATTGAAAAGGTGTAGATTTTATTGTTCTAACCATAGTACTAGAATTGTTGAAACTTGAAATACTAGGTTCATTGAGAATGGTGAAGTTAGAAGGAGTTTGGAACCACGAAATGTGGAAATA